CTATCATTAACCCAGAGACTGTGTTCATGGCCAGCTCCCATCTACAAAAATTAACAACATACACAGACTCAAAAAAAAAATACAAAAGGTTCTTTTTTCCTCACTTGGACCCCAGCGTAATGATGGATTTTCTCGCTAGCCAGGAAAGTTCACCAAGATAAACAAGCCGAGTTGAAAACGTTCCGAGCGGCCAAACTCCTGGTGAGGTGCTCTGGAAAAGAATACATGGATATTCTGGGAAGCAGGCGCAGCACAGCCGTTTCTGGGAGGGAAAACCTAGGCTCCCTGCCTTAAATCGGGGCTGGCACTCCTCTCCGAGAAGCCCCATTGTGGCCAACAGCGCGTGGGTTCTCTGTGCTGGAGCTAACATCTGACGCTAGGGGTGTGCTCATCACCTTCCTGATGCCGATGCCGACCAAAGGCTTTCAGACTTTCTCAGTAAATAACCCCAAGCTGCGTGCCTCCCTCCAAACATGCGCCACGTTCAGTACCAGAAAAATAACGAGGCGCCTCAGTCTCGTGCACAGCCTGTGTCACTCACAGGAAGGGATCGGATGACTGGTGCTCGCTGAGAACGTTAGGCAAGGCATGCGCGCCCGTTTCCTCTCCTTCCTGCGAGTTTGTCACAGAATAAACGCGTACAGTGACATCGCAGCATCTGATCAAACACTGCCTTTTGGGGCTGCTCCATCCGCACAGCTGGGCTGGGTGTCCCAGGACCAAGGCCAGATCCAGATAGTTCCCCCTGCCCCTCCTCGGCCTCCACCAGGCTCTGGTGGGGAGTGAGGCCTGTCCCCTTAGCGGGGCCTATTCACCAGGGCTGCTCCCAAACCTGGGATCCTGCCACGGAGAGGAGAAAGAAAAGGCAGGCACTGGCCCTCGGCGCAGCACAGCGCAGCGCACACTCCGAGCGGAGCTGCCTGCAGGTGTAAAGTTACAACTCCCCCCGCGGACTCTGCTTCCTGTCCAAGGATCCCGGAGAAACCAAGGCCGCCTTTTCCTAGTCTTAAAGTGCCTGACTACAAGTGCTGAAGCGACTTCCCAGCAAGGCCGAGGGGAGGGGCTTTCTCGGTCACCTAAGCCCTGGCACCTTTTACTTTCCAGAGCAGCGATTGTCAACCTTTGTCGTCGCATGGCACAGAAACTGATTACGGAAATTCTACGGCACACCAACAATACACTGAGTGGCCAGATTATTATGAGCACCCCATCAGTACTTCATTGACACTTCCAAAAATACTGAATATTGAAAACTCCCTAAGCAAATACTCTCAAGGTTTTATTATTATTATTTGCATAACTAATTAACTTCATTGTACTGATGGGGTGGTCATAATAACCTGGCCACTCAGTGTATATTATACCTTTTGTTGATCTGACAAGAAACAGGTATAATTTTGATTCAGTCACACTGGGTGGCAATTGGCTGTGGTCATTTTTTATTTGACAACCTAAGGGGAAGAGGTCGGTGTCCCTGACTAATTGGTCAGTTGTTGCATGACTTAGGCCAGTGGTCGGCAAACTTATTAGTCAACAGAGCCAAATATCAACAGTACTTCTTCAAAATAGACTCGCCCAGGCCGAAAACCGACTTCTGCACATGGGCCACGAAGTTTCAATCGCACTGTACGCGCGCCCGCACATGGTATTTTGTGGAAGAGCCACACTCAAGGGGCCAAAGAGCCGCATGTGGCTCACAAGCCACAGTTTGCCGACCACGGACTTAGGCATTCCTATAGCACACCGGCTGAAAATCAGTGTTCTAGAGCTTTCCGTCTTAAGCTGAGGTTGCAATATAAGCTTTGTCTTCAAATAAGGGAAATGGAGGTGGCCAGAGTGATGGTGACCAGGCAAAGGCAATAGGGCTGTGGAAGCGGCAGGGAAAGGTGCCGGGCGGACTCCCTTCTGAAGCTCAGGGGCCCTGTGCCCCCTGAATCCCGGTCACCTCCACAGCCCGCACAATGCCTAGTGTGAGAAGTCGGCAGGATCTAGGGACCCTGTGAGGTGGCGAGACTCCCTGGTAATGAGAGAAAGCAACAGTGTGGCCCAGTGAAGGAGGAAAGCAGCCTCCAACTTAACAGGTCAGTCCTGGCAACTTCTGAGGCCCCGCCGAGTTAAATGATTTGCTCTGCTGATTTCTCTTTCATTTTTATCTTTTAATCCCCACCGGAGGGTATTTTTTCCATTGATGTTTAGAGAGAGAGGAGAAGGGAGGGAGGAGAGGGCGAGGGAGGGAGAAAAAAACATCAATGTTAAGAGAGACACATCAACTCGTTGCCTCCCACACTTGCCTGGAGACAGGGGAGCAAACCTACAACCCAGGTACGTGCCCTTGACCAGGAATTGAACCCGCAACCCTTTGGTCCCCCGCCAGGCGCTCTAACCGCTGAGCAAACCGGCCAGGGCTCTGCTTATTTCTTATCCAGCGCCACCCACTTTTAAAAAAATCCTCACCTGAGGATAAGTTTTCCATTGGTTTTTAGAGAGAGTGGAAGGGAAGGAAGAGGGAGAGGGAAGGAGAGAGAGAAACGTTGTGAGAGAGAAACATCGACTGGTTGCCTCTGGCACATACCCTGCCCGGGGCTGAGGATCAAACCTGCAACCGAGGTACTTGCCCTTGACTGGGAATCAAACCTGCGACCATTCGGTGCCCGGGCCGACGCTCTAACCAGTGAGCAACCATCCAGGCCTCTGCTTCTTTCTTATCCAGCCAGCCCCTTAGCAGAAGTGACCGGGAGGGCGTAGCCACCGTGCACAGAAGCACCGAGCCGGCGTCTGTGCTCTGCAGGCTGCCGGGGTGTGCGGGTCACACACAGAGCACGCAGCTGTGTGCGGGGAACATGGCTGCGAATGCACGAAGTGAGCAATAAAGCCAGTGGCCGAGACTGAAAAAGCAGCTTGATTGGCTTAAGCAAAACTCTGAAAAGCTGCAGTGACAAGGGCTAATTAAGGGAAGCCCCACTGTGGGCCAAATCGCCGGAGAACGCTGCTGGGCAACGGTACAGAAAGCAAAAGGCTGGATGGAAGGATAGACTCCCGCTCACGCTAAGCAGCTACCAAAATTCACCGCCCGGCGGGGCCTGCAGCGGGCAGGGCCGGGTATGAGCGCCACAGAAAGCAAGCCCCTCTAGGCAGGACCCCAGCTCACCTAGCCAGTGTGTCTCCCCAGGTGCCTATAACCTGCCCTAATAAAGAAATGGGCCAATGAACCCACCGCACCGTTCCCGGCTGCTTAAAAAGGGGAGCTCAAGCTAGTGTTAACCCACGGGGTTGACCTGCCGGCTCATCGCCCTTCACGTGAGGCGGAGAGAGTTACATCTGTCAAATGCTCACATTCACTAGCGCCTCCCTATAGAGAGCAATGCTGCAGTCACGCGTGCCACCGTCGCTGCATCTGCCACCTCACTGAGAACAGTGCCAGGCACTTCCTGCCGTCTGCTGAAGGCTGACTGTGTGCTGGCGCTGCCTCCTGGACAGCTCAGCCTGATGATCGTTGCTGTGGACCGAATGGTGTGCTCCCCCCACCCCCAGGGGACGGTATTTGGAGATGGGGGCCTGTGGCTGGTGATCAGACTGAGAGGAGGTCGTGAGAGTGGAGCCCCATGATGGGGTCAGCGTCCTTATAGGAAAAGGAAGACACACCAGAGACCAGAGCGCCCTCGGAACCCCCACCACGTGAAGACGCAGCAAGAAGCAGGTCCTCACCAGACACCGAATTTGCCCGTTCCACTGCTCTTGGACTTCCAGCCTCCAGAACTGTGCGAGGGAAATGTCTGCTGTGTAAGCCGCCCAGTCCGCGGTGTTTCGTGGCAGCAGCCAAGCTGGCTAAAACAATCCCCACTGACAGTGAGAACAGCAGGCACAGAGGGCAGAGAGCACGTGCCTAAGTGCGGCAAGCGGAGCCAGGCTCTGAAGCGAGAGAGAACGACTCTTGACCAACAAGCATACCCTTTCTTAAGAAAACGAACTCTTCCAGACCAGCAATAGCCCCGTTTAGAAGATAACTTTTGTTCATTCCGTGTGCTGACTCAATCGGCTCACAAATAAGAAATTCATCCCCAAACCCTTAGTAGGGATCAAGTTTTCATTGTAAAGGGGCCAACACGAGGAGGCCCTATAGACCAGACTGTCCGATAGTATGGTCTGTGATGAGGGAACTATTCCATCAGCTGTGCTGTCCGAGGCCATGGCCACCAGCCCAGTGGTTCTCAACTGGGGGCACATGGGCCCTCCGGGGAACACTTGGCAAAGTTTGGAGACGTTTTTGGCTGCAACTAGTGGGTGGGAGGGCGCTGGCAGCACTAGGGGACCAATGCCAGGGACGTTGCTAAGCCACCTCTGGTCCCAGGACAGCCCCCCCCCTCAGAGTTCTTTGGTCCGAAATGTCTCCGGCGCCGAGGTGGGAAAATCTGCACTCGCCACATGTGACTGCTGAGCATTTCAGCTGTGGCTACGGGGGCTGGGGGATACATTATTTTCTTTCAATTTCATGAATTTGATTTGAACTGTTAGAATAAAAAAAAAATGAAGGGATCAGATCAAAACTGACAAAATTGGAATTCCAATTTAAACAGCCATGTGTGTCTTGGCGAGTACAGCAGCTATGGCGAATGTAGACAAATATCAAATAAAGGTCTGGTTTCCAAAGAGTTCCACTTAAAGGAACCAAGGGTCTTTAAGGCAGAGACTCCTAGGCTCAGGGTCGGGAAATAATGAGCGGAAACACAATCCTAGAAGTGGGCGCCCAGGAAGCTTTAGGACTCATGTCCAGGCACCAAGAGGTCAGCACAAAAGGAAACACGGGCTCCGCTCCCTTCCATCACCGCGGGCAACTCACTCTTGCAGGGTCTCCACCCCCTTCTCTTTGTACTGCAGCTCTTGCTTCATCTGCGCCAGCTCTCGCTTTAATCTGGAAAGCTAAAGACAAATAACAGTTTCTTCAAAAATTGCTGTGAAAAATGACTTCTACAGTTGTTCTCGCTGTCACTGAAGTTCCTGCTTAGCTTGCCGTTCATGGGATATCCACTCCAGTGGTTCTCAACCCTCCTAATGCCGCGACCCTTTCATACAGCTCCTCATGTTGTGGTGACCCCCAATTTCATTGTTACACATGGAACATCATTAAAGCATAGTGATTCATCACAAAAACAATATGTAATTATATATGTGTTTTCGATGGTCTTAGGCGACCCCTGTGAAAGGGTTGTTCGATCCCCAAAGGGGTCACAACCCACAGGTTGAGAACCGCTGATCTACTCTCTCCATGAACTGCCATTCACACGCATAAAACAGCCACCGTTGGCCCGGCTGGGTGGCTCAGTGGTTGAGCATTAACCTATGAACCAGGAGGTCATGGTTCAATTCCCGGTCAGGGCACATGCCTGGTTGCAGGCTCAATCCCCAGTGTAGGTAAGGTGTACGGGAGGCAGCCGATCAATGTTTCTCTCTCATCATTGATGTTTCTATCTCTCTCCCTCTCCCCTCCTCTCTGAAATCAATAAAAATATTTTTTCATTTAAAAATAAAATAGCCCTAGCCGGTTCGATTCCGATCAAGGGCACATACCTCAATTACAGGCTCCTCCCTGGCCTGGGCCCTGGTCAGAGCTCATGCAGGAGGCAGCCAATCGATGTGTTTCTCTCACATCGATATTTCTGTCTTTCCCGCTCTCTTCCACTGTCTCTAAAAATATCCTCGGGTGAGGATAAATAAAATCAAATCAAAATAAATAAAATAAAACAGCTGCGCTGGAAGAACTAACTGCCTTGCTTACATCCCAAAGTCCTAGCACTTCCGGTCCACGTGGAAGCGCAACTGCTTTCTTTCTCAAGGTACTGATCTGTTCATTACAATTACAAACTGCGTAACACTTTGCCCATCTTCCCTTGTACTTGCTTCGCACAGAGCCACGGAGGAGGCCCTGCAGCTGCGAGCGCGGTCTCCTCCCATCGCCTGGTGCTTATTCAACAGATTCTGGGACCCGCTCCAGGCCTGCGTTAAAGCTGGCGGTCGGGGGGGCGGGGGGGGAGCTCACACGGTTAACCGACTCCCCAGGGGGATTTCTGAGGTGCGCTAGAGCCTTAGACACACCACAGCAGGGGGCTTCATTTCCAAGGGGTCTCCCATGTTTTGATGCAAATGCAACAAAACGGAGCCCTCCCCAGGCCAGCAAGGCAAGGGGCTGAAGTGCTGAGAGGAGGGAACACAGGTGACTTTTTGTTAGACAGGCTACGGTTTAAAATGAAATAGTTGCCCTCCTATTGGAAGAGAGTGGAGAGTACAAACAAATATAATAATAATCCGTGAAACGAATATCTTACTGAAACGTGAGCGTCAGACACGCTGACCACCCGGAAATGAACCACGATAAGCGATGTCACATAGAAGTACATACGGGCACCGTGTTACTCACCCTATCCCGACGACTGGCTATTTCTGCTTTAATTTGGTGTGGGTCGTACTTTGTGTTTGCTGAATATCCAGAGTAGGCTAAACAGAAGGAAAACATTGCATTTTATAAAGGATTCTTTAAAATAAACAAATGCACACAGACAGGAACTTCTGATTCTCCACATTAAATGGTTAAGGCTCAGCTTTACAAGTTGGTACTGGCTCCTGAAGAATCAACACTTCACAGCCTCGAATCTGGGTGTTTGATCTTTGCATGAGGCCTGCCTGCAGGACCCCCCATCATAGACAACATGCTGCAGGTAAAGCACACCGTGCTGACTTCCGCTGCAAACGCCGCGGCTTAAACACCACGTGCGCAGGAGGAGGGAAAGGTATGATTATGGAAAATTGCTCTTACTGTGCAAACAGTACGCACACTAGGGATCATTTTTCCTTTCTTTTAAAATGCCCACACAGCCCGGCCAGCGTGGCTCAGTGGTTGAGCGCTGACCCATGAACCAGGAGGTCGAGGTTCGATCCCCGATCAGGGCACAGGCCCAGGTTGCGGACTCGATCCCCAGTGTGGGGCGTGCAGGAGGCAGCCGATCCGTGATTCTCTCTCATCATGAATGTTTCTCTCTCTCTCTCCCCCTCTCCCTTCCTCTCTGAAGTCAATAAAAAAAATACATATTTTTAAAAATAAATAAAATGGGCGCACACGGGAGTCTTGGGAAGGATACAGCCAAAAAGTCAACGGTGGTTCTTTTCAATACAAAAGATTTTAGTTTTATTTTCGTCACATCTACAGTCCCCAGATGAACAATTTTTGACGTGAGAGAGAAAACAGATACTAAAGGTCTAGGAAATGAGAAAGACGGCTTTCTAGCCTCGTGCCTGTACCCGCCAGGCTGAGGAAACACTACACTTGCAGGCGGCCTGCTGCACAGAACCGCAGAGGAGCGCCGCCCCTGCATTCCAGCAGCTCGGCGCTCATGGCCGTCTGGTGAAAGCGCATCGCAGGGACATGGGTTCTTAAACGGAGCAGGGCAGGAGCTCTAACCTCCTGCCACCGACATGGCGTCATGGCGAGTAGCCATACCTGGGGGTGAGTGAGGCTCGCAGAGCCCGTCACCTGTGCGTGGGGAGCAGTCAGCCATTGTCCTGCGGGGGAGCTGTCAGCCCCTCTGCCCTTTCAGCAGCTGGAGCAGCTAGCGGCCCTGCGCATGGCTATTTCCTCATGCTTCCGTGTCCTTGCTCTGAGGCTTCTGAAGCCATCAGCTTGGGGGCTGCAGTGACTCGGTTTCTAGCCCTCCCTGAGCGTGGAGCGCTCTCTGTCTCCACCTGGGCACCCCCCACTGGCGGCACCTGCCTCTGGGTCATTCTCATATCGCCACCTGCTCAGAAGGCCCATCTGCAGGCGGGTGACCCTTCTTTCACTCCTTCCATCCGGGGTCCGAGGGCTGTCATTGAGATCACTAGGTGCTAACATCTAGAAACCAGTTCAAAACCATGTCCTGACTTTCTGTTGGATGATGGGGCTCAAGGCCATGTGGTTTCCACAGCAAGGTTATTTAGCTTCAACGGTATTCTCAAAGTTAACTGGAGCAGTTGATATCTCCTTTAAAAAAAACATACAGTTCTGTCCAGTCGGTGTGGCTCAGTGGTTGAGTGTCGACCTATGAACCAGGAGGTCACGGTTCGATTCTGAGTCAGGGCACATGCCTGGGTTGTGGGCTCGATCCCCAGTGTGGGGTGTGCAGGAGGCAGCTGATCCATGATTCTCTCTCCTCATTGATGTTTCTCTCTCTCCCTCTCCCTTCCTCTCTAAAGTCAATAAAATATATATATTTTTAAAAAGCAGTTCTATGGCAAATCTCCTCTGTAAGCCCCCATCAGTCAGAATGTTGAACCACTGGAATCCACTGGAAATAAAAGTCAGGAGGAGCTACGTGTTTGCCAACTTTATGTTCTTATATTTCCAATCGTAATCTCTCCAGACATGGAGCAAAATGCTTTTAAGATGGAATTCTTTCTCAGACGAAGAATGTCTATTTCCAAATCCTGCAACTTCTATCTCGTCTGACTCTGGTTTCACTGAAGATCGGTGATGAATCATTTCTATAAAATCTCCACATTCAACTTCTGGGACTTCAGTGTCTCAGACCTGAGCTGAAGGGGCTTCCACGTGGGACCCAGATAACATGCGCATGGCCAGGCTGCGCTGACTCCTCACTTCCACTGCGTCAACCTGTCACCTTCCGAGTGAGGGAGAACGTGCCCACTGGGGGAGAAGGAAGGCCACCCCCAAAGTCTAGGGATGCTAACCGCCATGTTCACCTCCGAGCCAATGATCTCAGATCACGGCCACAAAACTTGCAGTGCGCACGGGAGATGGAGCAGGTACAAGTGGACAAATACATGGCAACCTGCACCCTCTCCTTCCGAACTCCCAGCACCCTGACACTGACCGGTACCCACCTCTCCCCCAGGAGGCCCAGGAGTAACTGGTCCTGGAAGCAGGGCCTGAGGAAACACAACATCCTGGAGCCACCAGTGCCACCAACAGGAAGCCACCCACCTGGAAGACTGCTTTGGAACAACGCGCTTCCCTACTGCGCATGCTCATGGACGTTCATCTTTTCTATGACTTACAGCTGAAACCACCCTGAACGACACACTAGGTTTTACTTATACTCATATCCTTCATGTTACCTTTGCTACAGCCTCTAAAACAGTGGTTTTCAACCTTCTGGCCCTTTAAATACAGTTCCTCATGTTGGGACCCAACCATAAAATTATTTTCGTTGCTACTTCATAACTGTCATGTTGCTATTGTTATGAATCATCATGTAAATATCAGATCTGCAGGATGGTCTTAGGGCGACCCCTGTGAAAGGGTCATTCGACTGCCAAAGGGGTCGCAACCCACAGGTTGAGAACTGCTGCTCTAAAATTATAAAATTCCAGGACAGAGATGAGGGAAAAGTCCACTCAGGTACCTAAGACGATGAGTACGTCTTATCTTCAAACGCTAAGGGGAGTTGTGAACACTGGCATAGCTTTTAATAATATAATTCAATTTCTACAAATTCTCCGTTCCTTATGTCTGCCAGCAAGTCTAATGGAATCCATTTCTGGAGTCTAAGAAATAGCTCAGGACTCCAGACCCCATTTTTAACAGCATGTGCTGTACATCATTTAGAAAAAGAACTACCTTCCTCTGTTAAGACATGTCTGCAATCTCGGGGCTTACGATAAATACCAGACTTTCACCTCTGAAGCTGTCTTCTCTCTTGAAGAGCTGAGTGGGCAGAGCTATTAAACAGCTTAAGGAGTCCACTCAGGTCTACACATTGTTTGGGATGATATAATCACACGGTTTTACTTTAGCTGGACCACAACAATGTAAATTATTGTACCTTGCTATTATAGGGTGCCTTTCACACTTATTTCATCTATTCTCATAAAAATCTTTGTGAGTGATGATGATTATGCCCCCCACTTTAGAGATTAAAGACTGAGTTTGCAGGGACTTGATCTGCATTATGCCATTAAGTCACAGAGGCACTTGTGTCTGGAACTTGGGCTGCTACGGGTCAGCTGTCCAACATCCTTTAATCAGATTAGCTTTTCCAACGTAAGAAGGAATGGCCCCTCGGCTCCCCAAAGCCCATTGCCCACTAAGCGAACCAGACCTGTGTATTTAACACTCAAAATGCTGCAGACCGCAATCCTGATGGTGGATTTCCACCCCCAGGGTACTGACAGGGGGAACTGTGTGTCTGTCTGTCTCTCTCTCTCCCTCTCTCTCTCTTCCCCACAGGCCTCCTCTGTGCTGTGAGAAGCCAAGGTCACACCCCAGGGGGATGAAATGCTTTAAAAGACCAGTAGTCCTTCTTCAAAGACATCTCCTGGACAGACAGCTCCTCAAGACCAGGTGCGCCTCCAGGCTCAGACTGGAGGGGTTGCTCCGGGGAGCGGGGGAGACTGGTGGAAAGGAGGCAGGCCCCGACAGACTCCGCGCTGACAGGTACTAATTACCAGAGCAGCGATAACCAGGCCAACAAAGGAGGGCACAACATTTTTTAAAAGGCACTGTAAGCACAGGATCAAAAAAAACTCCAGCCCACTCGAGACCCACAGAAGCAAGCAAGAAGCCACCAAATCGCAAGCAGGAATCCCGTCTAGAGCAGAGGAGGGGATTGTCTCTCAGTAAACATGCGTGCTCTGCTACAACCTTCGAGACTGCCTCTTGCCAACTAATACCTGTGAAAAATGCTGCGCGATCCATTTTTCTCCTGCCTGCTCTGACATGCTCGCAGGAGGGAAAACAAAAGGCTAAATGGATGGACTTTGGCCCTTATCCTAATCTAGATAGTAGACGATGAGAAAGCCTTCAGCAGAGAACTAAAGGAAGATAGTCTTTGTGGGAGGGCCTTGGAGCTTCAGAAAGAATGTTGGCAGGACTGATGGCTGATAAAGTCAAGCTTCACCACCACCTAACGCAGGAATTCAGGGTGGATCAGCACTTTCCCAACAGAGATAAGGCCGGCTCTTTCCCAGCCACCCAAAGAGACCTGGTGTAGACTTCTGGGAGCTCCTGGGAGCCAGGGGAACAGAGGAAGCCATGTTTCTGCTGCTGAAAGAGTCCATCTAGACTAGTGGGTCTCAACTCTCAGAATCGCTTGGGGAGCTTTGTAAAAAATGTCTGGCCCCACTCAACCCAAATCTGTACCCAGGCAGCAGCAGTTTTTACCAGCCTCTCAGGAGACTGTGCGCAGCCGGGCAGCGTGGAGAATGACCGGTGTAGACCAGGGACTGCGACACTTTCTCTGCAAAGGGCCAGATAGTATTTTTGGCTTTGGGGGCCATACAGTCTCTGTCTCAACTCAACTCTCCCCTTGTAGCTGCTATAGACAATAGGTAAGTGAATGGATGTGGCTGCGTTCCAATAAAACTTTATTCACAAATACCCTGAGTGGACAGTGCTTAGCCTGGGGGCCATCCGTAATTTGTTGGCCTGTGGTTCAGACTATAATTTACCCCATGCAAGCATCCCCCACCCCCACCCCCCAAAAAAGATGCTGCAAATGGTCATA